GAAAAAGAAAGAAAAAGAAATGAGATTATAAAGTAACTATGATGAACATATTCAATACATTAAAAGACAAGATTGAAGTTTGGTAAAGAATTGAAACAAAAGAGCCAAATGAAAATTCCAGAAACCAAAAAATAGGATAACTTAAGTAAACAAACAAGTAACCACCAACCTTCAGAAAACCTAAACAGAAAAAGGCCTTAACACAGCCCTCACCCTTCAATTTTACTATGGTTGAGAGAGGTGAGAAAGCTGCAGAAGAAAAATTTGAAGCTAGTAGAGGTTGGTTTATATGATTTAAGGAAAAGACCATCTTCATAACACAGAAGTGCAAAGTGGAACAGCAAGTGGTGATGTAGAAGCTAAGGCAAGTTATCCAGAAGACTTCAGTAAGATAATTGGTGAAGGTGGCTACACTAAACAGCAGATTTTCATTGTAGACTATAAACCGTCTTCTATTGGAATAAGATGCCATGTAGGACTTTTCATAGCTATAGAGAAGAAGTCAATGCCTAGCTTCAAAGGACAGGCTGAGTCTCTTTTCACGAGCTAATGCCCCTGGTGACTTTAAGTAGAAGCCAATGCTCATTTACCATTTGGAAAATCTCAAGGTTCTTAAGAATGACGTAAAATCTACTCTGCCTTTGCTCTATAAATGGAACCACAAAGCCTGGATAACAGTACATCTAGTTACGGTGTTGTTTACCAAATATTTAAGCCCATTTTTGTAGCCTTTTGTTCAGAAAAAAAATCCTTTCAAATGTACCTGTGCATTGACAATGCACTGCTCATGCAAGAACTCTGATGGATATGTACAAGGAACTTAAATTTTTTTTTTTCTTGCTAATGGTACAACTATTCTGCAGCCCATGGATCAAGCAATAATTTGGACTTCAATTATTTAAGAAATATATTTTGTAAAGCTATAGCTGCCATAGATGGTGATCATGCTGATAGATCTGGACACAGTAAATTAAAACCTTGTGGAAAGGATTCAGCATTCTAGATGTCATTATAAATGTTCACGATTCCTTGGAAGAAGTGAAAATACCAATGTCAACAGGAGTTTGGAAGAAGTTGATTGTAGTCCTTATAGATGATTTGGGAGGTTGAAGATTTCAGTGGAGGAAGTCACTGTAGATGTAGTGGAAACAGTGAGAGGACTGGAAGTGAAGCCTGGGACTAAGTTTCTGTGATCTCACTGTAAAACTTTCAATGGATGAATTGCTTTTTATGAATGGGAAAAGGAAGTAGATTCTTGAAATGGAATCTACTCCTGGTAAAGATGCTGAGAATATAGTTGGGATAACAACAAAGAAGTTAGAATATTGTTTGGATCGAGGCCAGCAGGTGTCACAGTGGTTGAGGCACTGGACTCCCACATGACTGACTATAATTTGAGTCCTGGACCAAGCAGCTTGAAACTCATGCCAGGTGTGTGTGTGTGCGTGCCCAGGATCCTGAGAGGAAAATGGAAGAGAAGGGACTGTGACATGGCCATCTCCTCTGAGGGATGTTTTCTCACTTTCTTTCTCTCTCTATCTCTGTCTCTCTGGCAAGTGCATACATGCTCTCAAAAATTATATATAAAATATCCAGTCATTTCAACATATGAGAACAAAAATTAATATTTTTTTAAAAAAGGAATATTATGGGGTCATTGGGAAAGTCATGATACATTTTTGCATAGAAAAACAGAAGAATACATTATGACTTCCCCAGTGACCTAATATGTAAACTTAACTGATAAAGCAGTTGCAGGGTTTGAGAGGATTGACTCCAATTTTGAAAGAAGTTCTACAGTGAGTAAAATGCTGTCAAATAGCAAGCATACTACAGAGAAACATTTTCTGAAAAGAAAGTCAATTCATAAGGCAAATTTCATTGTTGCCTTATTTTCAGAAGTTTGTGCAGCTGCTACAGCCTTTAGCAGTCACCACCCTGCTCAGTCAGCAGCCATCAACACTGGGGCAAGATCCTCCACCAGAAAAAAGATGATTACTGACTGAAGGCTCAGAGGATCATTAGCACTTTTTAGCAATCAAGATTAAAAAAATAATAATATCTGTACTTTTTTAGATACATTGTTAATTGCGTACTGAATATACTCTAGTGTAAATGTAATTTTTCTTTTTAATAGGGCATATGTGCTTGCTGAAGAGAGAGAAAGAAAGAAAGAGAAAAAGTACCCCCACCCCATTAGATATGGCCATACTGCTACAACCCCTTCTCCTGCATTCCCCTCTCAGAATTTTAGGCATACACACACACACACACGCCTGGCATATTTATCAAGCCAGAGGGTCAGGGCCTCAAACTCTGTGTAGTTGGCTATATGGAATCCAATCACCTTAACCACCATACTACCAACCAGACCTATATAACTTTTATCTGCATTAGAAAACCAAAAGTTTTATTACTTGATTTATTGTAAAATTTACTTTATTGCAGTGGTCTGGAACCAAACTGGCAATATCTCCATGGTTCACCTATACTGATACACTGCTTCGTATTCACTGTCTAAGACCTCCGGTCTACTTTATTATTTTAATTATATATAGATGAATCTTACGATAGACCTTGGTTATCTTGGGCCTTATGTCTATTCTTCAGTGGATTGGGAGTCTAGATCCTCCAGCTAGTGAATACTCAGAGTAGCATCACACATATCCTAACTTGGGGAAACAGAGGACGGAGGATGTGAAATTATTATCCTTTTTGTAGTTCTGTCTCTTTTAGTCCATATTATTTTAACCTTGGTTTACCAGAATAGCTAAATCTAAACAGACAAAATAAAAAGGATTTGCTTCATTTGTGACATATCGTTTCATCCCTGCTTTTCCTTTAATGAAAGCTACTTTATTTGAACAGGTTTTCCCATTATGTTCTCTCTTTAATAGGTATTCACTCCTTAAGTGGTGTTCTTTTTCTTTTCTTTTTTTTTTTTTTTTTTTTTTTTCTTTTTGAGAGGTTTTTGCTATTGGGCATGTGCACTCACCAGAAAGACAGAGAGAGAGAGAGAGACAGAAAGCATGAAATCACCTCCTGGGGGGATGGCCACACCACACAGTCCCTTCTCCTCCCTTCTCCTCTTGAGATCTTGGGCACGCATACTCACGCGCCTGGCATGAGTTTAAGCCATCGGATGTGGGACTCAAACTGCAGTCAGTTACATGGGAGTCCAGTGATGTGGCCTTTACGCCATCTGCTGGTCCCAGGTGTTCTATTTTTATTTTTTTTTTAAGTTTTTTTGCCTTAGAGTGTGTGCACTCACTAGAGATACAGAGACAGTGAGAGGGAAAGTGAGAAATCATCTTGCAGATGGATGGCCATGCCACAATCCCTTTTCCAGTCTCCTCTTGGGATTTTTGGGCACACATACACACAAGCACCTGTTGTGAATCACAAGCCACCATGTCTGGAACTCAAACTGTTGTTGGCTAGATGGGAATCCAGTGCCTACTGGATTTAGGATTTAGCCATAGCTGGATTTAGGAAAATCTGTCTTTTATTTATTTTTATTTATTTATTTTTTAAGTTTGTTTCATTCATCAGAAAAAGAGGCAGAGTGAAAGACATGTACAAACATACGTGTACATGCACACACATCAGCATCCCACAGGGATGCTATGGTCCACCTCTAGCCTCAGCCAGCTAGGATGATGCACATGTGCACACACGCCCATGGGAGGTGTCAGGACACCAACCTGGGTCCTTTCTATGTGGTCTCAGCATCACTGGGCATTGTGTTACTGATGTGTCATTGTGGCTGACCAGGAATCCCTGCCTTATTCATTCATTGTTTTGTTTTGAGATTCTATTTAAAAAGTTATAGTTAACTTGTTCTATGGATTCATGTATTTTATTACTTTTATCATTATGTTTTTTCTTTCTTGTGTGAGGTATCTGGACCAGAAGGTTCCTAGCAACTCAGGGTTTGTTGATATTTCTCAGCTTTACTCTTTGTCCCCTTGGATATTAATTGAATCCTCTTCTCAGATCTATAGATGTGTATAGCTATGGACATTATTCTTAGTGTTCAATACGTTTTCTTTAGTTAACATAGCTATTTATGTCTAAAGAAGTGTTCTCCTTTGTCCCTTGCTAGCTGACTCCCTAATAATCTGAAGAGAGCTTTTGGACAGCTGTAATTCCTTCTAACATCTGACCCCATAGTTTTCTGAAATTTGAAGTGTTTGGATGAATGAAAGCGGTGTTGAGATATAGGGAGTGTAGTATATAGAATTGGGTAGTTTTCATTGTTTCATTAATAGCAATCCTTGTGACAGTTGTTCACTTTCCTGTGGGTTGCACATCTGGGGTCTCCAAAAGAATGTTTATAGGGAAGGAAGGCTTTCTGTCTTCTTTTTGTTGTTGTTTTTCTTTTTTTTGGAGAGGTTTTTGCTATAGGGGGTGTGCGCTTGCCAGAAAGACAGAGAGAGACAGAGAAACAGAAAGCAAGAAATCACCGCTCAGAGGGGATGGCCATGCTGCAATCCATTCTTCTCCACTCTCCTCTCGGAATCTTGGGCATGCACCCACATGCGTGCAGCGTGAGTTTAAGTCACTGGGTCTGGGATTCGAACTGTGGTCGACTACGTGGGAATCCAGTGACATAGCCATTTCACTAACTGCTGGTCCCTCTTTCTGTCTTCTTTGAGCTGGTTGGCCTGGTTTTGTTTCTCCATGGTAGTGGCGCAACAGTTAGACATCCCAATCTGGTTTTGTAAATTCCTAGTAGGCCTCTCTTTCACATTCTGATAATGGAAAGATGGAATAGGTAGTGACAGATACCATTTAAAAGCAGGTATTAGCTTTGGCTCTTAAAATGTGTATGTTTCCTACTTTCATATTTCCAAACATAGCATAGTTCAAAATTTACTTTGATGTAAATTTTCTTTTGGAAACAAATTTCAGAAATAGCTTTTAAAACCTGTAGTCAATTTGTATTTGGAAGATGTTTGAAAAGAATAACTTTTTCTTCATTATATTCTTTAAATTAGTTAAAAGAAAGCTTGGAACAATCAATAGGCCAGCTGCGGAGTCAACGTTTATTGAGAAACTCAGGAGGGAGAAGTATTTCTGTTACTAGTCTGAGTGCAAGTGACCTCGATGGTGGCACTGTGGCAGGTAAGCTCTTCAGATGTTCTGAAGACACTCGTATTTGTTAAAGATACTTCTAAAGTACATATTGAATACATTTAATTTTTGGAGAAATACAATTCATATGTAACATCATCTAGATTAGGTCTTAGAGCATGCCATTGTCAAAGATTTTAAAGTGTGTATTTTGAAATATATTAAAGATCTTTATAATTCTGAGCAATTAGTTTTTCTTTTCTTTTTTTTTTTTTATACTCTGTAGACCACATAAGCTTTGTCTGTCAAAATTCGGATTTAATTATCTGCTGCTAAAGAATTCAAACATAAACATAAATAAGACTTACTATGTGGTATACTTCATAGGTTTGAAGACTTATTCTAGCATGATAGTTTTTAGAGTGTCTTATACGATATCCTATGACACTTGCTAAGAACAGATTAATTTTAGCCTTGATGTACAGCTAGATGTCAATGGCTAGCTTAATGCTTATAACATTTAGTTTGCATGTAATTAATCATACTAATACTTTCCTGTAACACCAAATTAATATTTGAATTGAAAAGTCTACAGTGAAATGAGGTGATTGAGATAGATTGAGCATCAGTACATTGCATTGTTAATATTACATTTGATCATGCTAATAATAATTGAAAATTGGACACTATCATCTATTTTTTATATAGGTGGGTTTTGTTGATTTTTATATACTTCAGATTTTAGACTAATTAGTTGGTTATTCATGTTAAGTCATATTGGGTGAGTCAATTTTTTTTTTTTTGTTAATCTAGCAATTGTTTTTTATATGAGAAAATATTATTCCTCTTTTGTAAAGTATAGTAAATTGGAACTTCTGACACATTCTATATCCAGGTTATTTCTGTTTTTCACTTTATCTGTACCCCGCCCCCTCTTCCCCAATTTGCCAGTAGACTTGTGCTCACCAGAGAGAAACAGAGAGACAGACAGAGAAAGGGAGAGGAGAAAACACCCTTCAGTAGGGGCATAGTCATGACTCAGTCCCTTTCCCTCTATTTCTCCATCCTGTTGGAATTTGAGGCATGCATGAACATGTGCCTGCTGTGTTTTTCAAGCTGCTGAGTCGAGGAATAGAACCACGTGGTTGGCCATATAGAATCTGGCCACCTTAACCACTGGTTGTGCTGACTAACTTCATCAGTTTTAAGAGCAAGATTAGTGTCAATTTGGTACAACTTTATGGCCACAGCAAGACAATAGGTAAATAATCTGGGTTAAAGGCACATGTGTATAACCATGTCTGGTATGCAGGAACTGAGTCAAATTTTAAATTGTTTTTTTCCTCATGCATTATTTTAACTCTCTTTTTTTTCTTTTAATTGTAAAGAGGGTCATCGCTTTCCACCTACCTCACCTCTCAAGGACTATGGGGATCCACAGGGTATTAAACGACTTAGATCCAGAGCTGGTGTCCGGTTTGTTCAGGAGACCGATGATGTGGCCCAGGTACTTTGTACCATTCTGTAATTTGTATGTAGCCCTCCTCACTTTTCTATATAAATGACTGAAACTTAAACTTTATGGATAAATTTTAACCAAATTTTAGGAATTGGATCATCAGTAACTTTGTACTGATTATTTTTTTTTAAAACCAAGTAATCTTCTATTTTCAATCTATGTATCAGCATCATATATTTATTTTGAATTTTATTTAGGATCATATGTGGCAGAACATTTAAAAGTGTGTTTAGTAGGACATGTTTTGTCTCCTTCCTCGTTCAAGTGACTCCCTCTTTGGTGAGCTCTGCTAAGTCAGCCACTTTCTATTTTGCTAAGTTTGGTTTAATATGAACAAGTTAGTCCTTGTGTGGTTGACCTATTGATTTTTCCACCATTAGTGTTTTCTGGTTGTTAAATCATTGATGGAGCTACTTTCTATTAAGTAAGAAATTCTATACTTCCTGTATTCTCTAAAGATTTCTGAGGTATTAGTTCTATGGGCATACAGTTTCTTTCTCTGTTCTTTAAAGTTCTCCATAGAGCTGGTTATTTTTTTTCTTTTTGGAAGGGGGAGTGTCAGCTAAGTTAATTAGCAAAGGGCATGACATCTTTGTTTTGATAGTTGTAGTATGGGGTGCTCAAAGTTTTTTGGAGTGTATATGCTCATCTGCAGCTGTTACTTGTTATAGTTTAAGGTGAAGAGATAACCAAATGCATTAGAAAACATCTTGTAGAAACTTTTTCTTGACTGTTATTTTTTTGGTGGGTTCAACTTAGTATGATATCATATGATTAAAGTTTAGAGCAGAAAACAATGTCTTAATGTTATTCATTTACTCTTTCATTCTGTTTATTTAGTGTCTGTTATGGGGAAAGTGCTTAGGCTTGTAAACAGTGATAGCAAGAAGAGTGCCTTTCCATTGAGTTTGCAGTCGAGAAGGGGAACTAGATATTAAATAAATACATAAACATACCTATTCTTATGGACTGATACAAACACTATAATGAAAAGAAACATAGGACTACAGGACTGTATAGTAGAGGGACCTGTCCTAGGGAAGACTTTCTGAAGGAAGGCTGATTGAGCTGAGGTCTGAAAGTTAAGGAGTTACTCCAGGTAGAAAATAATGGTTTGGTAGGAGGGAGGAGAGAATAGCATTTGTGAGCAATTTAAAGAAGGCTTGTAGCTAAAAATGTAGGAAGGGCTTCATAGAATGCCTTAAGGGGGTGACAAAATTATTTTTAAAAGATCACTCAGGTATAGAAAATGGAGTCAATGCGAGCATACCAATTAGGAGGATATCGTAGTGTTCTGGGTGTGAATTAATGGTCACTCAGGTTGGGATACATGATGTTGGAGAAAAAAGGGGTAAATTTAAAAGTTAACGAAATTGAAAGATCTTTGTCTTAGTCTGTTGCTGCTTTGCTAACAGAAATACCTGAAAGTAGGTGGATTATAAAGAAAATAGAGGTCTATTTACAAAATTCAGTATCCTGGTGCTAGAAAGTCCAAAGGCAACACAAAATGGTGGATGGCAGTACTTTTAGTATAGCTAAGTGTGGTCCGTATTCATGAGTTTCTCTCATTATGGTCTTGTTTCCTCTAATTGTAATATATAGCCTCAAGGACTAATTCACAGGAGCCCTGCCCTAATGACAGTATCACACCCAAAGGCTCCCCCCTGGGATGTCAGGAAGGAATTAAATGTTCACCTAACACCTTTTCAATAGGGTCAGATCCCTATTGGGAGCACATCCCATTTGGGTGGACATCCAAATTAAAACACATGAACCTTTGAGGGATAAGGTTTTTTATTTGGAATTTTATTTAGGATCACATTTTATTATCATCCAAATCATAATAATCTTGGATATCCAATTGTCATAAAGGCAAGGTAGGGATGAGTGAAAAGGAGGCGTCAAGTGTATCCTAGGATTCTGGTTTGCAAAATAAGAAAAAATGATGGCAAACCTAAGTGGGTCATTTGTTATCTTCTTTGGTAATTCATGTTTTTCATGTGTTTTGGACATTCAGCCTTCTTAATGAGTGGTTAGCAGTGATCATTTCATTTTCAATGTTGTATGATACACTCCACAAGAAGAATAAACTGCTGTTTAGGGAGGGACTTTACAAAATTCATGGTAAAATAAAATGATTAATTTAGGTGTAAAAAATTTTGAAATCTATACATACTTTTTTTTAAAATGTACATTTTTCATGCACATTTGGAGATCTGTTGTATTTATCACCATTCTGCTCTTGATAGATGGTTAGTTTATCTTTAGTTCTTTTAGCAGCGTTACTACTCCATACTCTCTTATACGTGGTTCCAAGCGTAGAAGGGCAAGAGTTTCCTTAATAAGAGTTGGTAAGCTAGGGCATATAGGCTATGGAATGAAGTTTAATTGTCGCAAAGCCATGTTAACTCATTTATGGCTACTATTGCAGTTCAGTGGCAGAGTGGAGTAATTGTGACAGAGACAGTACAGCTGGCCAGCTTGAAATACTTGCCACCAAGCTCTTTAAATAAAATTTTATTGCCTCCTTTTCTAGAATATGGATAAGGAATCGGATTCTTATCCTATAGAGAATGTGATGGTTACTGTGTTATATAACTTTTAAAGAATTGTCCTTTCAACAAAATATTTCTTTCTAAATAGGTATTTCTCTTACCCTTTCTTAGTAATGTTATAGGATTTGGTCATTAATACAAAGAACAAGATATTAGTCTTACCTTTAGGGAATTTTCATGGAAAAATTCAGCAAAATCCTGAATGGGTAACTGTGTTTTGCTTTGCTAGTTTCATGCTTTTCATCAGTCCCTCCGAGACCTTAGCAGTGAACAAATTCGCCTTGGAGATGATTTCAACAGAGAACTTTCCAGAAGAAGCAGGTAAAAACAGAATATAGTTTTCATGGGAAGCATAAATAATTAAGGAGAATAAATTAGCTTTTATAACTGACATGTTTACATAGATATAAAAATATAATGTATATTTATACTGGTATTATAAAATTTATTAAAAGAACAGTTCAAAGCCCTTTGAATTTAGAATACATCATGACTCAATGTTAGACAAATTTTGTATTTCTAAAAATACCTTACAACAATGGAATGCTGATATTAAAGAGAGATACATTGTGAGACCTTAGCAAAGAGGTGCATTTGGAAATACAACGGAAAGAGAAAGACAGAGACTGGCTGGCCGATTGACTGTTGGCATTCCAGAAAAAAAAGGTCTGTGGCATTTGTAAATGGACAGGAGCCATTGTTGAATAATACTTTAGCTTTTAGTTGAAATCTTCAAAAGCTAGTGCCTAACATCTGCCCAGTTTCTGTGATTTTTGTCAATTCTGGTCTGTCTCCAAGAGCTTTTAATTTTTATTATCAGCTGTGGCACCTGGCTTTCTTAGGGAGGCCATTATTTAAAAAAAAAAAAAAAAAAAGCTTTTTCACAA